GATTTTTATTCTTTTGCTGAGAATCATTATCTTTACAATAGCAAATCACCATTTATTTAATCTTCTTTCATATCTTTCAATAAAGATTTATCATTGCTCCATTAAAAGGCTTGCATAGCTTTTGTTAACTTTGCCAAATTATTTTACAGCTTTTCTATTATAAAACTTCTTTATAATTACCTTTTAGTTCCCTTTAAATATAGCAGTTTACTTTTTTTTCCCAATGTTTGTTTATTTTTGAGACAGAGCACGAGTGGGGTAAGAGCAGAGAGAGAGGGAGACACAGAATCCTGTGCTGTCAGCACAGAGTGCGATGTGGGGCTCGAACCCATGAACCGTGAGATCTTGACCTGAGCCAAAGTTAAGATGCTCAACCAACTGAGCCACTCCCTATTTAACTTTTTCATTGACTATGATTTCTAACACATTGTTAAAATGAAATAGTATTGGCTTACATCCTTGTCTTTTTCTAGCCTTAAATAGTGTTTTTAAAGTTTCACCATTAAATGAGATCTTTGTTGTAGATTTTTGTTCTTGACATGTTTTCCCCACCCTCCCACTTGGGACTTTCACATTCTGTTCTGAAGAGAAGAAATGAACAGGAAAATACTTTATTTCCAGAGCCTGTCACTGTGCTTGATACAGTATAGTTGTCAATTTGTTGCATGACTGAATGAATATAGTAGGACTACTTGAGCCTTCTGGTTTTCATTGGCTCTGGGATAGCAGTTCAAAATGCTTATTAAATCTTTATCTTAGAAAAAGAGTCAAAGTCATTAATGTTTGTATTACACTTCTAATGTTTCACATTGGATTCCAATACGATTTCAGGACTGGAATACAAGTATATCGGAGACCATATTTTCTGTTTCTCATGGTAAATTAAGGATCCATTTAAACTGTAGGTAAATTTTAGGCTAAAGTGTTTGAAGATTTATTTTGTTTAAGGATTTTGTTTTTATTATATTTTTATGAACATCATTGTAATTTAGATTAGATTTGTAAATTTAGTACTGAAATGGTACTGTGAAGTTTTTGATTAAAGCCTGAGCAATTAATGATACTAATAACCAACAAATTAGTTTGTGAAGTCTCCTTTATAATTCAGATTAGACCCCTTCTGCTTTTCTGCCTCTCCGTGTACCTGGTATTTTTTTTTTTTAACAGATGGGGAAATTAAGGCATAAAGGTAGAGATTCCCTGAATTTGGTGTATTGCTTACTGCAGTAGACCACTTTGCCTCTGTGAGAATTGTAAACTACTATACTTTCCAGGTATGTGCTGAAATTGCCATTGCCGAAAATCTGCAAGTCTTGCTAATAAAGAAAACTCTTACTCAGCCGTTTTGTGTGTTTAGCTATATTTAGGACAGCGACAGCTGGCTAAAAGTTCTTCTGAATTTGTAGAGAAGAGAGGTATAGTAATTTTGCTAGAGGATTATTTTGTTACAAAAATTGCTGTCCATTTTTTCATTCATCCTTTTTGCCCCCTTCAATTCCTGCTTCTCTCTCTGTTTTGGCCATTGGGCATTTGTTCTGGATCATTGTTTGTCAACTGGGGGCGATTTTACCCTTGAGGAGACATTTGGCAATATTTGGAGACATTTTTTGTTTATCACAACTGGGGAAATGCTGCTGGCATTTAGTGGGTAGAGGCCAGGGATGCTGCTAACTGTCCTACAGTGCGCAAGATGGTCCCCCACAATCAAGAACCAAGTGGCCCAAAATGTCAGTAGTGCTGAGATTAAGAAATCTTTCTTTAGACAGTGGTGTTCATTTTTGGCTTTGAACTGGAAAGAGAACTTCAGTGCTTGTTTTTTGAAAGGCAAGTGTTGGTGTCTTTGAGTGGACTTCAAAGCTATACAGACAAGATGTTCAGATCTTGTCTTAATTCTCACTGGCCATGAGAACCTACATTAAGGTGTGTGGGGGAAAAAGAACAGATATAACACATTGTAGAGTACTGTGTAAATATTATTTGTATCCTCCTTTTCCACCTGAACTGCATATACCAGTGATTCAGCTTATGTCGTTTACTCCTCTGACAGGTTTTTACACCTTTTGGTTTTCAGTTTTTCATCTGTAAAACGAGGATAATTGTATTTATATTGTAGATTTTAGGAGGATATTCTGTGAGAAAATGCAAATAAAGCATGTGCCCCTGTGACTGGAATGTATTAAGTACTTAATAAATATTTGCTTTTATTTATTTATAATAACTTTACCTTCAGATTGTAATCTTTTGTACCTATTGTCAGAAGTGGTATATAAAACTAGGCAATATTGTCCCTCAGCTGATGAATGAGTAAACAAAATGTGTCCTGTCCAAATAATGCAGTATTATTAGGCCATAAAAATATGAAGTACTGATAGTTGCTACAACTTGGAGTAACCTTGAACACATTATGCTAGGTGAAATAAGCCAGTCACAAAGACCACACGTATTATGATTCCATGTATATAAAATGTGCAAAATAGGCAACTCTAGAAAGACAGAAAACAGATTCCTAGCTATGTAAGGCTGGGGGTGGAAGGCAAGGGGGTTGGGGAGGTAACAGTGAAGAGGTTTGTTAATAAGGTGGTACAAATGTTCTAAAATTAATTGTGGTGATAGTTGTATAAGTTGATGAATGTATTAGAAACTATTGATTTGCAGAGTTTACATGGATGAATTGAATGATAATGTGAATTGTTTACCGGTACAGTTGATGTATATAAACTGGACAAGATGAGGGCTCTCCATCCTTTCTCTGGGGTTGAATATTTGATTCCTTAATCCTCACCTTATGATTTCCATCTGCTCTCCATCTTCTGATTTCCGTGGGATGTGACTTAGAGAATGGATTCTGGTGGAGAGAACAGTGACGTTGCTGGTTAGTCCTCCCCACTCATTCAGTGTGGTGATAGCGGTCTGTAAACCACTTACGATGTTGCCCAGTTAGCGGTTTCTCCTTCTGGCCTACATGTCTTGTACGGATTGACACCAAACAGCTAACAAAGCTGAGCACGTTTCACTTTTTCCATGTCTGGACGTTTGCGTGCTGAATTGGCTGTCACCTTTGTACCTGCGTTCCAGTATGTTTTATTTCTATGCACGGATAGCAAGTTAGAAAGCTAATTTTCTTTAGTGAACATGATAGTTAGGAACCCATTAAGTAACCAGGGACAGGATGGTTATGAGACCATTAATAAAAATTTGCTAGAGTTTAAACAGCTGTAGTGATAAATACTTACTAAATGAAAGGTATACTGGCTAGTGAATTCTGTTTTGCCTGTGTCTTTTGATTGCAGCTGTCAGAATACCTCATTGAAATAGGCTTATGGGGATTTATGGCACACGTTACTGAAAAGTCTACGTGTGAGGGGTGTCTTCAAATTGGCAAGGTGCAGTTTCAGTCACTTCATGACCTGACTTATCTTTACCAGGCTGGGCTCCTTTTGTTCACTTGGTTTCTTAGCGTCTCCCCTTATGGTTATAAAATGGCTGCAGCAGCCCCAGGCCTTAAATCATCTCAGCATTAACACTAGCAGGTATAGAGAAATATCCTCTCTTAACAGTAGAACCCCCCCACCCCCGGCCTGATTCATACTAGCCTGAGTTGGGTCCTGTGCTTATCCTGGAACTAAGTTCTGTGAGCAAAAGAACGGAACATGCTGATCGACTTTGGCCAGTGGTGCTCCCCCCCAAACCTGAGAGTATGTGGTTAACATTACCCAAAACCATATAAGAGTTTGGGATGAGGTGGCTCACCAGAAGAATTTTGGGTTGTTTTTTGGTGTTATTGTTAACCAGATGATTGAACTAGACGGTGGATGGCAGGATGGTTTATATCTACTATAATTCTAGCTAATACTAGAACTTTCATCCCTGATAATAATAACTTAAAAGTTTATCGAGTGTTTCCTCTGTATGTACGAAGTAGAATGAGTAAAAAACTTTGGGCCAAAAATAGGATTATGGTAACTTTTAGGCCTGAGTTCTAAAAGTTATGTTCCTAAAGAACCTTATTATAAAACTTTCTAAGTTTTTTGAAATTTGGTGTGATGTTTTTTCCTAATTTGGGGATCCTCTTGTCTTTAAGTACTGTATGTAGATTTCTTCAGTTCTTTGAACTTAGTACTTTTCTCTCTTGTCTAATACCTGTTTTACCACATCACATCATTGTATTTTTATTTACTTATTAGAAAAAAATTTTTTAATGTTTGTTTATTTTTGAGAGACTCAGTGACAGAGTGAGAGCAGGGGAGGGGCAGAGAGAGAGGGAGACACAGAATTTGAAGCAAGCTCCAGGCTCTGGGCTGTCAGCCCAGAGCCTGACACGGGGCTTGAACCCACAAACTGTGAGATCATGACCTGAGCCGAAGTCAGATGCTTAACTGACTGAGCCACCCAGGTGCCCCATCGTTTTACTTTTTAAACTTAAGCCTTCTAACTCTATACAAAACTTAAAATCTTAGCTTTCTACTTCTGTAAAACAAGTTAGTATTGCAGTTAAATGCTGTTAACTTAAAAACTACAGATAGAGGTAGTTTGACAAGGCTGACTGTTCTTTTGCGTGTTGATCAGTGTCTTGCAGCTCAGTGAGACTGTGCCCTTAGAGATTGGTAGTCTAAGATGTGATTACTTTCTGGGTTTGCCATGGCTGGTTTCTCCTTGCTCTTGGGGAGCAAAAGGCAAATCGTGTCTTTGCTAGAGTGGTTTTATGGCACATGTCATAAAATACGTGCTATATTTAGTGTCTATAATTGTCATTAAGGCTGCTTTCTAATATTGGATTGGGTGAGAGTTTTAAAGATTTTCAAGTAGTGATGTGGTTATAAAATAGTTCAGACTATAAGACTTAGGAATGAAGAATGATCTTTTTTTAAATTGCTATACTCTCTGTTAGAAATTAGTATATTTTAGTTTTATAGAAAAAGGTATAATAACTTAAAAATAATAAAAAACCGTTGCTGGCAGAATAATGACAGTTACTCTCTTTTTCTCAATGTTCCCCACAGCGATCCTGGTGGAGGGATTGAAATGTCTGAGTTCATTCGAGAGGCCACACCCCCAGTTGGTTGCAGTTCAAGAAATTCTTATGCTGGCCTAGATCCAAGTAACCAGGTGGGAACCTGCTGTTTTGTCTTTTTCCCTCCTCTCCTCCTCATGGTGGTCTCAAGCAATTCTGTCTGTAATAGTCCATTGGTGTTGGGGTTTATCTTGCTGATTAATACATTTTTGATTGTTTATTAATATCTTTTGTTAGTATTCTTATTTTTAACTGAATTTTCACATTAATCAAGTCCATTTTTGCTGAGCATGCAGCATGCTCAGCAAAACTACTGCAGGCAACTACCGTTGCCTGCAGTAGTTTTGATCACAACAGTTGTGCTGAGTGCCCTTCGGAAAATCAGGTCCTGGCTTTCACGGTCTCATTTACCTTCACTTTTTTTTTTTTTTTTTTTTTTTTTTTTTTTTTTTTTTTTTTTTTTTGTATCGGAAGGGTATAGATGTCTGGGGCTATTCCTAGCTTAAACATGGCAAAAAAAAAAAAAAAATTAAATTTTTAAAAATCTACACTTACTGTGGTGAGCACTGAGTAACGTGTAGAATTGTTGAATCAATGTGTCATACACCTGAAAGAGATAGCATGTATGTTGATTATACTTAATAAAAAAACTTTCTCAAAATCTGGCTGTTCAAGGTGTTGGTGATAGAGTGAGATGTAGAATACAGATCTGCTTTTGCCAGTTTTAATGTCTTTCCATTCTGTAACTTTTAACTTAAAATAGTAACTCTGAAAGTATGCTCTCAAAGGGTGACTGATGCCTGCTGTACTGTCATTGTGTGTAACCCCGGCCGGGCCTTTGCTGCTGCGTTTCTCTCTTTCATCCTAAACATCTCCCACACTAATCCAAGTCCTGCTTATTCCTGCCTGCCCTCTCAGCAGACGAGCCCGCTAGCTAGAGTAACACTGCATAAGCATAAGAGGGGAAACTTAGCCAGAAGCTTCGAAGTCTTGTCATGGTAGAACTTTAGATAACTATGGGTTGTAGTAGGTGATTATTTTATGTCAGCCTTTTCATTATGGAGAAGAGGAGACCACGGATTTGTATTAGGGTCTAGATCTCACTTCTTGATTTTCACTTCAGTCTTTCTGCTGTTCTACTACTCTACTTGTGGGTTGAAATCACTCTTCCTCCTTTCTGCTCCACAGACTTAGGTTTTTGTTTGTTTGTTTGTTTGTTTGTTTGTTTTAACTTCCTGGCCTAACTCTAACTTTTGTTAGAGCCATCCCTGTTTCTCAAGATTTTCAGAGACCTTGTGGTATTGCCTCTCTCTCTTGCATATGGAGCACTTACTGATGTATTTATTTAGCACTTGGGATTTGGTATGTGGTCATACGTGGCAGTCTGTAAGCCTCTACAGAGCAGACTGTCTTCTTTCTTCCCCTGGCTAATAGACCCGCCTTGTGCAGAGTTGACTTTCAGTGAATAGGTGCTAATTATCTTTGTCTACATAGATAGTAGAACTTTAGAGGTAGAATCAGACCTGGCTCTTCATTTAAGAAAGGAACAAGTAGCAGACCTAATTATCCTGACTGCCCCACAGTATTCTGCTGTTCCACATTGTTTAACCCTGCATTATCTCAGAACAGTATTAGGAAAAACACCATATTCTGTGAATCAAAAAAATCTTGAATAGAGTCTTGTATAGAAGATTTGCCTCTATTTGAATTGTATTTCATCATTTAAACTTCCAAGTGGGTGAATTTTTGGTTGCAGTTTTAGTTGTGATTGAATGTAGTGTAGTATTGAATTCTTTCCATAACAAGCAGATGGGAAATGTCAGAGTTAAACACACACACAGAACATTATGGAAAAGGACTGACATTTTAATTAGGTTCATACCTTTCAAGTTTCGGTTTTTACAGTACCAGTTTTAAAGAAAAACGTTGCTATCCTTAACCCTCTTTTGGTTAGCCTGGCTTTCTGTGTCTCTTTACGAAATGAAATGACTTAGCCCTTAAATATGGCTGCATGTTTTCTATGCTTAACTAACTCTGGCCTTTGTTCATACTAACACGTGTTGGCAATGTAAGATTACTAGGGAGTGAGCCTGTGTTTTCCCCACAATCTTGTGGAGAGCCAAACTTTTTATCATTTTTTTCAGCAGGACAGTTGAAAGGGTGCAGCCGTCTTCAGTAACTCTACCATGTTTTATGGGGGACTCCCATCCTGAGTGTTATTAAAGCTTGTCTGCACACAAATGCATGGCATGCCTGATTTGGTTTTCCTTAAAATATTAACTCTTGAATAAAAATTGGCAAATATTGGAAGTTATTGTGCTACATGGATTTTGGTGTTTTAGTATTATCCTAACAAAAGGAATGGTTGGCATAATTATTTTTACCGCCTTTTTGTATGCTGGCAGCCATATTACCAGAAGACATACTATATTTCTTGTACATATTTTATTATGTAGCATTTATTACACATGATCTTAGTTATTTGTGTGAATGTCCTCAGTACTAGGTAGTGAACTGGAGCATAGTGCCTCTATCTCAGTTGTTATTATCATTGTTTCCTTCTTGCCACTTCTACCTTTGTCTCCCTTCCATCATCTACCCTCTGTTTCCCTTCCATTTCTTTTTTCTTGTTTTTTTTTTACTGCTCCCTACCTCCCTCTCCCTCTCTTTCCTTTTGTCACTGGTCTTCCTTCATATATTTTAGTGCCAGATACCTTTCAAGTCAGTTTACTTGAATGGAGTGGGGAGGGGGTCTTACCCTCAGAGACTTGACAGTTTCGTAGTAGATTTGCCATAAATAACCAAAGTCAGAAACATGACATATGTTACCAAGGAAATATAAATATAAGATAGAAAGTAATAATTGTCATAGGAATGGTACAGAAAAGGGGATAATGATTTTAGAGGAGAAAATAATTTGTTTCCAGCTAGAAGAAGGGGCAAAGTCTGCACGGAGGAGGTGGCCTTGCCTGATTGTTCTTTAATTGGAAGAATTTTTTTTCTCAGATACCCATAATCCTTCCTGACCTTTCCTATGGCATTTACAAAAGAGAAGAAACAACCGGACCCTTTTGGTTTGTGCAGACTATTTTTTTTCCCTTAAATTTTTCATTTTCTAAATGTGTTCATTTTTACAAAAATAGCTAGTGAGGGAAAGCAAACAGAAGAAAATAAAAATCATCCATAATGTCATAATCAAAAACCATTTTTAAAAAAGGTGGGATTATAGTATGCATGCTGTTTGGAACTTGATTTTCTTTATTGACTATATCATGAATATTAATGTCATTAAGTGTTTTTCTACAGTGACATTTTGGGGAATGCATTCTCCTATTTGGATGTACTCCTATTTGGATGTTCATTTTTCTCAATCCCCTGTTTCATATGTAAATAGTCCCAATTCTTATATTTTGGGGGGATAAATTTAAATAATGCAGGAAAACATGAAGAATAAAATATAACCATCCATTCTGTCCATTAAGCCAGCAAGTAATAGAACTCACCTAGTTAAGTGACTTAAATAAGAGTTTATGTTTGTCATCCAGGTATGGAGGGGGCTGTGTGGCATTTGTTCAGCTCAGTAATGTTAGGACTTGGGCTGGCTTTTCCCTCAGGGTTGCAGAATGAGCACAGCAGCTTTAGTTATGACCCTGCTGGAAAGTAAGAAGCAGGGGGCACTGTGCGCAGAGTTGTCCTCGATTGTCTCCTCAGACATGCAGAGATCTTTCCCTGAAGCCCTCCCGCAAACTCTTGCCTGTGTTCATTGACCAGGAACCAAGGCGTACCCCTAGACTGGAGCCTGGGCCCCCTTCTCAGAGATCAAAAGATGGATACTCAGCATCTGAGCAAAGTGGGAATCTTGTTAAGAAAACAAAAGGGAACACTTCTGTGGTTGTGACCAAATGACTACCATAATCATATTCAAGTTTTGTTTTTTTTAATAGAAAGAGGTGATGTGAACCTTGACTTGGCTTTTTTTTTTTTTTTTTTTTTTTTTTGAGAGAGAGAGAGAGAGAGCGAGCGTGTGTGTGAGTGGGAGAGAGGGACAGGGGGAAGAGAGAATCCTAAGCAGCCTCCTGACATGGGGCTGGGATCATGATCTGAGCCAAAATCAAGAGTTGGATGCTCAAGGTGACTGAGCCACCAGGTGCCCCCAAAAGTTTTTTTTTAAGTTTAAATTTGTAGAAGGGTGTGCATAAAGTGGGGTTTTTGTTTATTACTTGTTTTTCTATCTAGGGAATAATGTGTTTATTATTCTAGTTGAAAATAACATGAATTCTATAACTTATCTAGCGGGTGTGGTAAGAATGAAACTTTGTTTTGCAGTAGAATGCTTTTACATCTTTTTCTAACTGCAGAGCTTTTTATGGCTAATTGAAAACAAAGATAAGGAAAAATCAGGAGACTCAAGCTTAATAAATTGTTTAAAAATGTTGCAAAACTTATTTTTTTTATTGGCCACATCAAGAATTAGTAGTTCTAACCTGTTTGTATTTGCTTTTTTTTTTTACTCACTTTTTCACTGACATATAACTATTATGCAGCATAGTATACACTTCTTAAGTGTACAGGACAGTGGGTTTTTACATACGTATACACCATTTAATTGCCATCCTCATGCCCTTTCAAACTCAATATTGACTTACATTTTGAGCAAATTTCTTATTTTATACGCCTAGTCAGTTGATTCATTGAAAGGAAGGATTTGGTAAAATGCAAAGTATTATATGAATATTCTTAATTTTATTCTAAAATATTAAATTTGCTTGACTATGTTCTTTTAATATCTCTTAAAAACAGGTTATAGAAAGTTGCTAGGACTTGCGGATTTAGTAACTGTCATGTTGTTATGTTTGGTTTCCCTGATGTGTTTATGGAATTTTTGGTATTTGTTTATATGATTTTTATGGTAGTGTAATGAATGATGACTGAGATTTTAGAGGAGTGTTCTATCATCTGGAATATAAGCATTAAAAACTCAATAGATTTTAGTTTTCTGTTTATAACTAGTGCTAAAAAGTCATTTTTCATGGATTCCTTAGTTTTTTTCTTTTTAAAGATGTTAGTAGCAGTCTACAAAGAAGTACTACTTACTTTTTGTCTAGCACTCAGGAAAGTTCATATTGATACACTAACAAGTTGACAAGATTTACGTTGCTCTTTGTAGCATATGTGAATGCTTTGTCCAGAACCTTCCTTTTATATACCCTGATAAGGGCATTTGTTTCAGGTAGACTCAACACCCAGTTTTGCTTTTGTTTATAATGTGAACATGTCATGATGCAATATAAAAAATGGTAGTAATTGTATGACATAGATTGTTTGATGTTGGAGGCATCCTGCTCTGTGGGTCCATCAATTCTAAGCATGCAGAGGGATTCAATCAGTGCCCTGGCACATCTGTAATATATATGCAGAATGTGCTACAACAAATAGGTTATGTGGCTCTGATAGAACATGCCCAAAGGGAATCTTTTAATATTGATAAAGTAACTGATAGCATGTTTTAATAATATGAAAGTTTTGCTTGATAATTTGCTAGTCTATATTGATAATGATATATAGCATTTTAATTAGTTTTAATATAATTTTCAGATTGGATCTGGTTCCTCTCGTCTTGGAACAGCAGCAACTATTAAAGGTAGACATTATCTAAGTTGAAAGTTGCCTGTGACTTTCCATTTCATTTTTGGATGTAATAAAGATAACAGTACTGTGTATTCACATGTAATGAAAAATCATTCTTGAAATTATTTTGTAGATACAGTTATGTATCTTGTATTAAAGGTTACTTGATTTAAATTTGGTTCTCCTTTCATCATCCAAATCTCACAAACATATTTGAACATTTGCATTACATTGCATGAATTGTAAGTTTTGCTCTATAAGAAACTTCCTTGCCTTGAAGGACAATACTTTCATGGGTTTTGGTGAGGTGTGGAAAACTAAGTAATTTTATGTGAAACCTTTAAATTGGGCACAAATGAGGCAGTAAAAAAGAGGAAGAGTCTTTTATATATACCTATTACATACATCTGTTTCAGGTAAATTCATATTTTTTCCCTATACTTTTTTAGGGGACTTTTTATAATTATCTCTGGGGAGGAAATTTATATTGTTTCAAGTTGTTATTACAAACTTTACATTTCTTTTAGAAAATTGCTTCTTTTTATTTAAAAAAAAATTTTTTTTTAACGTTTATTTTTGAGACAGAGAGAGACAGAGCATGAACGGGGGAGGGTCAGAGAGAGGGAGACACAGAATCTGAAACAGGCTCCAGGCTCTGAGCAGTCAGCACAGAGCCTGACGTGGGGCTCGAACTCACGGACCGCGAGATCATGACCTGAGCCAAAGTCGGACGCCCAACCGACTGAGCCACCCAGGCGCCCTGAAAATTGCTTCTTTAAAGGAAGTTTTATTAGCAGTGTGAAGGTTTCCTTATTACTTGCCTTATAGTGCTGTGAGAACAAAGATGTGGTTTGATAGTCTGTGATGCTTCCTGTTCAGTGATCTTCCATCATTGTAACCCATACAAACAAAAACTGCTCTAGTAGCTATCGTGTACTAGTACAGTACATAGGAAATTAGTGTAGTTGACATCCTTTCTGGTTATGCCACACCGTACAGCCTTTGCTTTTAATATAATGTGCTTACACGTTTCTCTTAATTTTGTAGGAGACACAGACACCGCTAAGACTTCTGATGATATTAGTTTAAGTCTGGGCCAGAGCTCTAGTCTTTGTAAGGAAGGAAGTGAAGAACAAGGTAAGAACATTATACTTTACACTGATACCATATATTATGGGGTCCAGGATGACTTTGTAGAATATGTTTGATTGATACTAGTATGATTCCATACTAACAGTATGGAAGCCACATAAGGGTAGAATTTTTTGTCTGTTCACGGATTTATTTACGGTACTTAGAATGGTACTCAGAACATGTAATAAGTTTATAACAAATTAATATGATATTTTGAAGAAGAATTAAAATAAAATTCTTAACTTGAATAACAGTAAAACAGTGTTGTAAGTACTTTTATTTTTTTAATTTTTGTAAAGGTTTTTTAAAAAAATCACTTATTTTTTGAGAGAACAAGTGCGCATGCATGCACTGGGGACAGGCAGAGAGAGAAAGAGAGAGAGAAAGAGAGAGAGAGAGAGAGAGAGAGAGAGAGAGGGAGAATCCCAAGCAGGTTCTACACAGCGCAGAGCTCGATGAGGGCTCAAACTCACGAACTGTGAGATCATGACCTGGATGCATAATAGACCGAGATCAAGAGTTGGACGCATAACCGACTGAGCCACCCAGGCACCCCTATAAGTACTTTTTGTTTTCTGGAATTCACTGACCCGTGTTCTGCCAAGTAGACATGGAGAGAAAAATTTTCTGAGCGTGTGCCCTGGAGTGAGTATGAGATGGGAGATAATCTGCTAGTCTAGTGGGTCAGAGCTTCTTGCCTGGTTTAGTAACCTACTTGTGAAACTGTTGTTTTCCATCTAGTGTGACCCCTAAATGTCAATTGCTTCAGGTCTTGCCTAACAGTATGTTTTGGTAGAGAAATAATTTGCTGTTGGACTTACAGAGAAACTATGTCTGCCTCCAACATGGTGCCTCCTGTAGCAGATTTTTAATAGAAATTTGGGGTTTAAGTGATTTCTCCCTGCCTTTGTTCAATTTCATTATAAATGAGTATTTCAGATTTAATGGAGTTTTTTTTTTTTAAGAACTGCCACATTTTTATGTTTCATTATTAATTTTCAAACATGAAAGGATGGATATGTTATCCCGTTTTCAAATGGAGATTATCCCAAGTTACATAATCAGACACAAACCTGTTTTCCTATTTCCAGCCTTTTGTTTTTATTAGCCTATGAGTGATTTTCAGAAGGCAGGCAAGCTGATAAATTTCCTGTTCTTAATTATGATGGGGCATCTGGGTGGTCAGTTGGTTAAGAGTCTGACTTTAGCTCAGGTCATGATCTTGCAGGTTGCGAGTTTGAGCCCCATGTTGGGCTCTGTGCTGATGGCTCAGAGCCTGGAGCCTGCTTTGGATTCTGTGTCTCCCTCTTTCTCTGCCCTCCCCTGCTCCTGCTCTGTCTCTCTCTCTCTCTTTCAAAAATAAATAAACGTTAGAAAATATATTTTAAATTATGAAATTTATGTAGCTACAAATTGATCACCAAATTATGACATTTTCCTCTCAATTTAGTGTTTTACCCAGGTCTAGTTCTTACAAGTGTGTTTTGTTCCTGTACTTGGAACATAAGTTTATCATGCTGTCACTCTGCTTTTTGGAATTGCAGTACCCCATCATTTATTTGCTTTTGTGGACTATCCCTCCCAACATACCCCTCCCCTCTAAACTTTCTAAACATACTGTATAATAAAGAAACTATCTTCTTATAAAAGGTGAAGGCGAATTGATCAGTTTGAGAATTACAGTATCCCTTTCTGTGATATATAATCAGAACGTCTCAAAAATTAGGTAATGATCTTAGAGGGGCTAGTGCTGCTGCATTTATAGGTCATATTTCTTTGTTTTGTATCTGGGAAGTACCATGCTTGAGCAAGAATTTTGTAATCTGTTGGGTTGGGAATTACATGCACACAAACCTACTCTGCAGATAACATACTGACATAGATAGTGATGTCTAATGTTCACTGAGCGCACACTATTAATATATGCTAGGAGTCAGCAGACTTCCCGTAAATGGTCAGATAGCTCCATAGGCCATATGGTCTCTCTTGCAACTACTCAACTGCCATTGTAGAGCTCAAGGAGCCATAAACAGCACATAAATGAGTGAGCATGGCTGTATTACACTAAAACCTTGTTCAAAGTAGGCAGAGGGCCAAATTGGCTCCATGGGTCTTAGTTTGTCAACTTCTGGTTTAGGTCTTCTTTTAAGCATTTCATACGCATTCACACAGTTAATCTTCACTGTAAGCTTTCGATGTTAATGTGATTCTCACATTACAGATGGACATATCATGGCTAAAAGAGAAGTTATAAAAAACCTGACCAAAGTCACACAGCTACAAAGTGGCAGTCCTAGAATTGAAATCTAGTTTTGAATCATGCTTTTAATTGTTGTTTTATATAGTTTTGTAACATCTATCGTGTAACATTTTAATATGACAACATTGAAAATTTGACAGATAACACAGATAACATTTAACAGATACTGTTCAGTGCTTATTACACGCTCTGAGCACCATTCTAAGCACCGTAAATAAATCAGTGAACAGACAAAAAATTCTACTCTTATGTGGCTTCCATACTTATTAGTATGGAATCATACTAGTATCAAATATATATGGAGTGGTGGGGGTTGGGGGGATTTAAGTGTAAATAGAGTGGTCAAAGAAAAGCCTTGCTGAGAGCAAAGACCTGAAGGAGGTGAAGGAGTGAGCTATCAGGATATTCGGGGGGAAATGAGCTGTCTCTATGCAAGAGTAACAGCACAGGCAAAAGTCCTAAAGTAACAACATGCCTGTCAGGTTTGAGAAATAGTGGGGCTGGTGTGAAGTAAGTGAGGCTACAAACTGTATAGTCTTGTAAGATATTTTAAAGATTGTGTTTTAGGGGCACCTGGGTGGCTCATTTGGTTGAACGTCCTACTTCGGCTCGGGTCACGATCTCACAGCTCCTGAGTTCGAGCCCCGTGTCGGGCTCTGTGCTGACAGCTCGGGGCCTGCTTCAGATTCTGTGTCTCCCTCTCTCTCTGCCCCTCCCCCACTTGCATTCTGTCTCTGTCTCTCTCAAAAATAAACATTAAAAAAAAATTGTGGTTTTAATTCCCAGTGAGATTAGGAACTGCTAAAGGGTACTGAGCAGAGGGAGTGTCATGATCTGAATTACCTTTTAACAGAATCACTGTGGCTATGATTAAAAGGGGCAGAGGCTGGAGCAGAAGCTCAGCTACCAGATGATTGCAGTAATCCAAGGCACGGAGCAGGACAGTGAGAAGTAGTCTGATTGGGTGTGTAGAAGATATTAGGGACAGGATATGTTGATGTTGATGGATTAGGATATATCCTATAAGAGAAATAGTACTCATGGATGACTGTAAGGTTTTTGGGTTAAGTGACAGGGAGGATGGAAGGGGAGAAGGCTGAGAAGGAACAGATTTAGGAGTAGGGAGAGCAGGAGGAGGGTAAGATGGGGGGTTCAGTTTTGGGCATATCAGGTATGAGATGCTGTTAGACCTCTAAGTGGCAACAATTAGTAGTTAATTAGGGTAGGTCTGGATTTCAGGTATGAAGTCCGGGTTGAGGTTTTAAATTCATGAGTTTTCAGTGTATAAATTCAAAAAAAAAAAAGAGCGGGGGGCGGGGGTGTCGTGTTAACTGTGGGTTGGGTTATCATGAAGTTCATAAAGTAACTGGCAAGCCTGCATGGAGTTAGGCTCCCTGATCCAATTTTGTTGGTCATGGCTACGATTTGGCACCACCTAGTGGCAGTTGCTTACTCTGGCTTAATTATCACTTGGGGCTCTTCCAGCTGTCTGGCTGGTTTGGGTTTACAGGGCAGCAGCAGTTAGTTGGTTAGCAGTTATTGATTAGTTGGCACTCATTTTATGGACGTGACTGAGACTGAACTAGGATGAGGGGACGTGTGCTCTCATTTTTTGCTTTTAAGAAGGGCTTATCTCTAATTTCCGTCTCCAGCCGCTCCCATTTTTTCCCTACCCAAGATCAGTATTTTACCCTAATCCCATCTGAATGTGGGCGCTGGGTAGAAGATGGAGGAAGCTAATTACAAGTATTTCTGAATTTTAGTTATCGTGGGACCAGAACACTGGATGAGATGGAGAAAAGAGGGAGTGTATATGGAAAAACGAAAAGTTCCAGGGATTGAGCTTTGAGCCAGTCCGGTGTAATAGGTGCAGGAGACCCCGTAGGAACAGCGGGTGAGGTGCAAGGAAGGCCTAGAGTGCTGTATCCCGGATTTTCAAGGAGACTGGAGTGCTCAGCTTTGTCCAACAGTGCCCATGGGTCAGGTGATACGAGGCTGAGACTTGGCCATTGGATTGTTGGTGACCTTGATAAGCACATTCATGGAGGGGGATCAGAGTACCTGTAGGAGAGAATTAGAGGAGGAGAACTGAAAAGAGTGAATACAGACTACTCTTGGTGAATTTGTGTAAAGGGGATCAGTGACTCAGGGTGAAAGCCAGCAGGGGAAGGTGAGGATAAAGGAGAGATTTGGATTTTCTAAGAACATGTAAGAGAAATAACAGCTTGTTTCTTATAACTGATGGAGATGATCCAGAAGAAAGGAGGAAAATGTGGTTTTTGTTTATAAAAGTGACATATGTTAATTTTAGAAAAGACAGTTAATATGAAGAAAATAATTCACATTTTTGGCACTGACATAACTTTATTTTTTGGTGTATCACTTTTTAAAATTATTTTTGTATTGTAATATAATTCATGTACTTTAAAATTCACTCTTCTAAAGTGTACAATTCAGTGAGTTTTAGTATTTAGTAGTTGGTGTGCACTTATCACCACTGTCCAATTCTAGAACATTCTTGTCACCCCACAAAAAAAAAAACACAAAAAACCATACCCATGATACTCCCATTTCCTCCTTCAACCAGCCCCTGGCAACCACTGATCTATTTTCTGTCTCTATTGCCTCTTCTGGACATTCATATAAATGGAATTATGTAATAGGTGGCTTTTTGTGTCTGGCTTCCTTGACTTAGCATGTTGTAGCATATATCAGGACTTTATTCCTTTTTATGGCTAAATATGGTATATTACTTTTAATATTCCTACACATATATGCAGATATACTCTTAATATTCTTTTTAACTGTTACAGATTGGAACCATACTTTTTATATAGTGCCATCATTTTCACTCAAGTATTTTCTCACTTTATTATGTCATCTTTGAAAACATTTTTAGTGCCTGTGTGATGTTTTAATAGACAGTCCAATTTATTTGACCTTTTTTTATTGGACATTTTCATACTTTTTATGTTTTAAGAAGTTTTGTTAACAACCTGAAATGAACAATTTTTTGCTAAAACCTTATATACATAGGTGATTTTATCCTTTAGCAGCAATTTCTAGAAATAGATTACTGATCATGGGTGGGTATGTACACTCTTGTGAGGCTTTTGGCCACATTGCTAGATTGTTTTATAGAAGATTACGCCGGTGCATCCCCATGAGCAGTATGTGGGTGTGCCTTTCTTATCCTAAATGCCACTGGTAGAAATTATTGGTAAAAAGGTTGATTAGATGAAAATAGTACCTCTGTGTATTGATTTGAGCCTTAGACCATATTGCTACCAGTGAGGAAAATATCTAAGAAAGCGTATTTACTTGAAAGTCTCCTAAAACCATCTAAGATTTCCTGACAAGATTTGATTTTTTTTAAATTTTTTTTTTCAACGTTTATTTATTTTTGGGATAGAGAGAGACAGAGCATGAACGGGGGAGGGGCAGAGAGAGAGGGAGACACAGAATCGGAAACAGGCTCCAGGCTCTGAGCCATCAGCCCAGAGCCTGACACAGGGCTCGAACTCACGGACCGCGAGATCGTGACCTGGCTGAAGTCGGACGCTCAACCGACTGCGCCACCCAGGCGCCCCAAGATTTGATTTTTTTATGGTATATTTAGCAACATTGGAAAAAGTACACGTAAAGTACTTTTAAAGTAAGTTTGCGTGTGTCTTTTTAAATGAAAAATATGTTTCTGGTTTGTTAATGTCTTGGAATTGGTTTTGATAGCATTTTTTAAGTCTTTTCTCATATTTTAGAGTTAGTGATTTTCAGTAACTTGTTAAGTTTTCGTCCTATAAAATTCATAACTTTGAAATGTGAATATCCTATTTCATAATCGCTTATTATAGAGTTTTTAGAAATAACTTTACAGTTTAATACTACAAAAAAGTAAATACAATGCTAACTTTTAAATTTTGATATTTAGAGATATCAGAACCCCAAATACAGTGACAGCTGTTTTGGACAAATGATAAAGAACATGAATTTTATACTTAAGTTGAAGACTTTAAAACATAAGATAAAGCCTAATAGGTCATTTATAAATCAATTTATATGGTAGATTCTAGAGGCTGTTTCTAAGTTTTTAATTTAAATCTAGTCTAGGTTTACATTTCTAAAAAAAATTTTTTTTAATGTTTATTTTTGAGAGAGCGAGCATGAGCGGGGGAGGGGCAAAGAGAGAGGGAGATACAGAGTCCAAAGCAAGCTCCAGGCTCTGAGCTGTAAGCACAGAGCCCGATATGGGGCTGGAACCCGTGAGCTGTGAGATCATGACTCGAAGTTGGATGCTTAACTGAATGAGCCACCGAGGCCCCCCTAGCTTTAGATTTTTTAAAAGTACATACACATTTCTAGTAATTCATTTTTATTTTATATTAATCTTAGAGGGGAAGGTATGCTTTTATTATTGAGCTTGCCTGGGAAGAGTGTGAGTCAACTATAGAATCTACTAATTGTATTTTTTCTATGCGGTTATAACAAATAAGATAATTTTTATTGAGCTAATAGCAGATTCAGTCATCCTTGTCTGTCAAAAAGTATATAAAAAGTCAGCTATTGTACTCTTCAATTGCCAAACTGTATTTCAAGATAAATTACAGTGTAGTTGGGTAGGTGGATTTATTTATATCTGTATACATAGTACGTATGGTAATTCCAGTCACTAATAACTGCCCTAAGTGGAGTGTTAAAGGAATGGTCTTACAGATATACAGGAATATGTAGTTTTTCATGAGGCATTTTGTAATTGTTGCATGAATGATGAAAGAGAAAACACAGTATTTTGTTCTACAACTGTTTTAATTTTTTTGGTCATTGTGAACAGCAAGACATCTTACATCATTATATTGCATCTTCTTTATGGATTGGTCAGCCTTTTGATTTTTTTTTTTCTCAAATTACTCTAGGTTTTTTTTGATTTGTAAGATAATCACATTGGTTTTTCAAAAATTTTTGTATTGTGTTAGAGAGGTAAAATAATGATAGCTGCAGTTCATTGTGCCAGGCATTATGCTAAGAAATGCTTGTGCTAAGCACATTAACTCCATTATTTCATGGTACTACTTAGTGAGATCTCATTTTATAGAGGAGGAAACCAGGGCCGTGGAAACCAGAGCTATCCAGTTAGTAAGCTAGAGACAGACTTCACATAAAAGTCCAGGGCCATTTTATGGGGTGTCTGGCTGGTTCAGTCAGTACAGTATGTGACTCTTGATCTTGGGGTGGTAAGTTCAAGCCCCACGTTGGGTGTAGAGATTACTTCAAATAAAATCTTAAAAAAAAAAAAAATCCAGGGCTGTTTTAAATATAATCCTATGTTGCCCCTTATTGTTGATAGTGTATGGAACCTTTTCTCAGGCCATTCGAGGATTTGGAAGTTCAGTTCATTCTGTAAATAGAATGCTTTCTTTGTCCAGCTGTGAAATAAAAACCAACTCTTTGGAATGACTTGCCAACTTGTATTCAGTGAACTACTCGGGAAATTGTTTTTCCTCAAGTTACTGTATGCTGTGAGTTCTTTCCATTGTTAAACAGTATATAAGCAGATCATAGATTTGTGTTAACATTTCCAAATATGTGTTTGAAACAGATTTGGCAACTGATCGGAAGCTCTTCCGTCTGGTCTCCAATGATTCCTTCATCTCCATTCAGCCTTCCTTATCCTCCTGTGGACAGGACTTACCAAGGGACTTTAGTGACAAAGTGAGCTTGCCGAGTCATGGCCACCACCACCACATCGATCAGTCTCTGTCCAACACCTGTGACACAGAAGTGGCTTCTCTCGTCCCTTTACATTCACACTCTTACAGGAAAGATCACCGGCCACGAGGGGTACCACGGACTTCTAGCTCTGCTGTGGCTTTTCCAGACACTTCACTGAACGACTTCCCTCTCTATCAGCAAAGACGGGGGTTAGATCCGGTTAGCGAGTTAGAATCTTCCAAGCCTCATTCTGGATCCAAAGAATCCTTGGTGGAAAATGCTTGTTTATCTGGGGAATTTCAGCTCGTTGGTGAGCTGAAAAACAGTAATTCTCAGCCACCTACAAAAAGTGGGAGGAGCAAACCTTTGAAAGCAGACAAAAGCGTGGACAGCCTGAGGAGCCTGAGCACGCGGAGCAGTGGGTCGACAGAGAGCTACTGCAGTGGAACGGACCGTGACACCAACAGTACCGTCAGCAGCTACAAAAGTGAGCAGACCAGCTCGACTCATATAGAGAGCATCTTGTCGGAGCATGAGGAGTCCCCTCAAGTAGGAAAGAAAAGCGGTAGGAAGAAAGAGGAGTGCTGTGCTGACCCAGAGGACCAGAGTAGCTGTACCAGTGACAAAAGGACTAACAGTGAGAAGACTGCCTTGGAAGTGAGTACAAACAGTGGGGTTCAAGAGGCCAAGGATCCCAGTGATGATATGCACAATCAGAAAGGTCTCAGCACCTCTGCATCTGAAGAAGCCAACAAGAATCCCCACGCAAACGAATTTACTTCCCAGGGGGACAGACCGCTTGGGAAAACCGCTGACCCCAAAGACGAGCAGAGTGAAAAGTCAGCTGTCTCAGCGGACTCAAAAGTTGGTAAAGACGGTGGTGGAAAGCAAAAGGAAGGGGATGTACGACCTAAATCCTCTAGCTTGATCCACCGGACAGCCTCTGCCCATAAGTCAGGCCGGAGACGGACAGGAAAAAAACGGGCCAGCAGTTTTGATTCAAGTCGGCATAGGGACTATGTGTCCTTCCGAGGTGTTGCTGGCACAAAGCCACATAGTGCTATATTCTGTCACGATGAGGACTCTAGCGACCAAAGTGACTTGAGCAGAGCATCAAGTGTGCAGTCTGCTCACCAGGTCAGCAGCGATAGCTCTTCCAGCACCACTTCTCATTCATGTCAGTCTCCGGAGGGCAGATGCAGTGCTCTAAAGACCAAACACGTCCCGAAAGAAAGGGGCACTGACTCCGAGCACACACACAAAGCCCATCCGGGTCCCGAAGGAACTTGCAAAAAGCGGACGACACGTCGGACTTCCAGCACAAATAGTGCCAAGACGCGGGCCCGAGTGTTGAGCCTGGACAGTGGCACAGTAGCGTGTTTGAATGACTCCAATAGGCTGATGGCACCCGAAAGTATAAAACCCTTAACCACTTCAAAATCTGATCTCGAGGCCAAAGAGGGAGAGGTGCTAGATGAGCTATCGTTATTGGGCCGGGCTTCCCAGTTAGAGACGGTCACTCGGTCTAGGAATAGCTTGCCAAGCCAGGTTGCGTTTCCTGAAGGCGAAGAGCAAGATGCGGGCAGTGGAGGTAAGTAAATGACTGGAGGAGAGTTCCCTGAGACTCACTGCGGTCGTGGGTACTATCAATTAGAGTGGTATTTACTAAAATATATAAAATAGGCTTTGTGTTACTGTCCCTCCTTCCGCTGTGTTGGTAAACTTTCTTCTGTGTAGGAGATGCTTATGTCAGAAAAGGTTTCAATTTTTTCTTGGCCTTGGGTTTTTCAAAGTCAGTTGCCACCTCTTAATGTTTTACCAGGACTGACCAAAATTGGTTGTCTTCTTTCATTGTACAATAGTAGCAACAACAAAATGTAGAAATTTATTAGATCACAAACCATTTTTAATCATCTCCTATACAGTGTGTGCCACTGAGCTTTCAGAGTTAGATACCTCAACCAGTAAGATTTTGCCAAATATTACTTTATCTCTGACTATGTACTGTGAAAACTTGTGCCTCGTTTGTCTCTTTGGTTTTACTTCTCCCTTACTCAAGTTTCAGGCATTAACCATTTTTTTTCCGTTAGCGTCACACTTCAAGTTGATTAAATCAATGTAGTTTAATTTGGCATTTAGTATCCATTAGTGGATACGTGATGCTCCCTGTGATAACACTGATGGTGTTTGATTAAAGTGATAGCTTATTTACTTCAGACTTATGGTATATTGTGCAGAATTCAGTGGGTGATTTTATATTGCCAGTGTGTTTTGGACGTTTTATTTCTTTCGGAGGTGTTTCTTCCTGTTTCCTCCTACCCAGAATAGTCAGTTCATTCTGTTGCGGATTTTATGGAATCTGGTTCTTGAGCAGGATCAGAAGAATCCTGACGTCTTCTGTTGCTGGAACCATAGCTTTTTCATCCTCCACTCCCATCCCCTGTATTCAGGCTGGTATCTTGTAAAACATTCTCTTATTTCCTTTGATACCATTTCTGATAAAGACTAATTTCTAATGAGAATGCAAAAAAATGATCTTTGGTACCTAAAGAAGAAAACAGTCTATCAAACTTAAGTATTGAGAACTAATTATATCTGAAGTGATTATAACCATTTGGTGACAGCATAGTAATTAAATTCCCTTAAGCCTTTGGTGTGGGTATCATTCTGTTTTTTATAAAAAGTCTTTTGAAATGCTTTTAGTGATTTCTCACACAAAGCATATCAGATATGTTCATGACCTATAAGAAACCATTGGGTTTAAAAATAGAGCTTAATTTTTCAAGGTGTCATTAAGTAAATTTTAAGAGTGAGCATGCTATGATAGAAAAATACTGCTGTTCTAAATACTGTTGAAATGTAAATACTAAAAAATATGTACAAGAGCTATAGTAAGTCTCTATGTCTTTGAATTTAAAATGCCATTTCTTTTTCACAGGGAATATGAGGTGTTCCAATTTTTAGGAAAAGTTACCTGAAAGGTTTTATTTGCTTTTCGGTGCAGATCTTTGACTGCTATGAGCTCATGCTTTTCCAGATTCCAGGTTTTGTCTTCTTTTGTTTGTGTTCTTATTTTTAAAAAAACAAGTCATTGAATGTTAATAAGAAGCAGGTAATGAACTAAAAATTTCCATGTACTTTGACGTGACGGGCTGTTAAAAAACATTTTTTTGCCAAAGGAAGAACATTGTAGGGGCTGTTTTTATTTGAGTTTCATTTATGTTTAGAATAAAATAAGAGTAAAACTAAACAGCTTAAATGTGTGAAGGGTTTGTGTTTCATTGGTTTGATCACATTTCATTAGGGTTTTGTTTGGGCTTTTTGGAAGATTGGAGGTAGTGAGAGAGGGGATATGTTTTGGTTCTCATTTAAAAGTTGTATAAAATCTCAATTGTTAAAGATTTATTTATATCGACATTAATTGTTACAGTCCTTTTTAGCAGTTTAGAAGACAGTTTTCTGGGCTGTCTCTTCCTACATACTACACTCCTGAAATGTGTCAACAAAACAGGACACTGCTTGACCGTTCACGTGGCCGTACGTAAGCCACAAATAGATTTTATTCTAATGAACTTGGAGGTGTTGATGAGTTCTCCAATGATTTTGTTTTCTTTTTAAGCGTAGTTAGTGGAGTTGGCAGTGTGGAAGGACGAGATCTAGAAAATGTACTATAAAGTACTAAAGTGAAATACTCTTAACATAGGAGGTGACTTAACATAATGACATGATGTTGGACACCCGTGCTGGCACACGGGCTCCGCTGTGGGAAAGCTGTCTATCTTCTTGTAGCCTCAGCCTCCTCATCTCACAGGGTTGCTGTGAGGAATTCATAGATGTCAGATGCTTAGAACACTGCCTGGCCCACACGAAATGCTTAATAGTGCTACTGTTTCGATTATACAGACCGCTGTTCTGCTACTCAGATGTGTCCTTTCCTTAAAGTGGAAGAAAATGATGAAATATAGAAATATATTAGAGATTTCTAATCGTGCCATTGTGAGACTCAGCAATAGTAAAAGTAAGAATTTTTACATAATACCTGATTTCTTACATAATACCAGCAGAAAAACATGAACATGTAATCTAGTAATATGGATTTTATCTTATTTTGGCCATAATATATCCTATAACTTCTCTCTTGGTATTCCGTTACATAGCAAATGATTGTTTTTGTAGGACTTTTCACCATTAATCAAGTACTTTGGTTAAAATTGGATTTCATCAGTTTTTCTGCTTAGGTGGGAGAAGAGTTTTAGATGCAAGCTAAGGCCTTTTGTGTTGATCTCTTTTGCATTTAATTCTTCTTTTATAAAGATAAAGCATGTCTTTAATAACTGATGGTGAATATTCGAAGGAAAAAGTACAATTAAGTTCTATATGGTAGAAGTGTCGTTTGGTACCTGCATTACTTTTAAAAACCATTTTCTTTTGCGTCCCTTAATTTACTGCATGATTCAACAGATTATAAAGAACAACCAGAATGGAAAGGTTTATATTTGCTCTATTATACTTCGTAATATTTTTCTGAATTTCTTAACCTCTGTTTTTCTGTTCGGGAAAATTATTTCAAATGTAATGTTTGAGCCCCTACTCTATAAGCATGAAATAGGATCCTGTTACATTTCTTTTGGGAACCAAAGGTAATCTTTTGTTAAGGAAATATCACTGTACTCAAAGAAAAACCAAATCTCCATAAATAATTTATGAGAGTTTGTGCCATCTGTGTAAATTGGAGGTCAGTTATTTTGAATCCAAATATCATTGAATCTTAGAAAGACCCCTGAATAGACAAGAACATGAGAATTAAAGCTTTTGTACCTTACTAAACAGAGGGACTCTGAATTCCAATACATAAATTTCTCATCTGTCACTCCATGTGGCAAGTGAGAAGAAGCAAAGTAGTAGAAGGGAATTGGTGCTTGGAGAAGCTAAAGTAATGACAACAACAGAAATGCGCCACCAGCACGAAAGGAGAAGCTGGAATGACCACACAAACCCAAGCAGAACACAGTGGGTGGGTCATTAAATGCAGGGGTAAACTGTCTTGGGAATTTGATAGTGTTGAAGGACATTGTGGGATCCTAACTTAACACTGTATTGTAGTAGGCGCAGTGATAAGTGTTCATGTGACTGGCCCCGCTTAAGGGAAAGGCTCTATCAGTCTATGTGGAGAAGAAAGCTTAGACATCAAACCACAGAGAAAGATGCTCATTCAGTGTAGTGAACAGATTTGGATACTTCATGTGCTTGGAAAAGTTGTCTACTCTTAAAGCAGTATGAAGAAGAGGTATTTTATTGATGAGGCAAGTGAGGGTTAGTGTATAGAATTCCCTGAACCAGCCCATGCCTGATTTTGTGTGGTAGGGGCAGACATTACACTATATATATGTATTTTTTCTGGTAGCAGTGAAGTTCTGGATGAGGAATCAAACAGTTACATTTTAATACCACCTCTAATTATTAACTGGATACTCTTGGCAAGTCATTAAATCTGTGCCTCAGTTTTCTCAGGTGTAAAACAGGAATAACTGTTTAGGTCTGTCTCAGCATTAACTATCAGATTCTAGTGAGCTTAGATTTGTAAAAGTGCTCTGTAAATTACAGGTTTAGTGTGAGAACTAAGACACTGATGCCTTTTCGTCATTTGTAAGGAAGTTTCCCTTTTCAAATCTATGTCACTTCAAATAGATATTCTTCACTAATGACCCCTTCTTAGGTGAATCTCAGAAAACATATGCAAAATAGTTTGAGTGCAGTTTTCTGGAAGAGTCTATATGTCTCATCCCACTTGCATAGGATTAAAAAAAACATTTGGAGCCACCTCTGAGATAAGGAATCCTGAAACTCTTTTAGGAACTGTTGTGTGTGAATCATGACTCCAGCGTATCATCTAATTTCTTGAAAGCATTTTGTCTGCCCATCTGTATTTGTTTGGCTGTCTGGGATTGTGGAAAATACCAGTAGGACATGGAGATTTTCTCTCACTGAAGACACAGCTAATCCTTTGTCGTTGGTTGCTGTTGTGTGCTGGTTTACTTATCAAAAAGTAGATTAGTCCTTTGAAATAATGTTCGCAGCTTGAAATTGTTTAATGTGGAATGAATGCTTTGAGGTTGTGCCATACATTCTCGGTGTGCTTTGGCCTCCCAGAAGATAACACTGATGAGTATTCGTTTTATTTTAGAACAAAACCTTGGCACGCCGGTGTAGGCATCATCCTTGGCTGACATGGGAAGTAAGAGGGGGAGAGACGTTTAGATCAAATGGCAGTGTATTTCAGGATGTCTGCTTATATCTTTTATTTTTCTGAGATGTACATATACTTGTGTGTATTTTCGCCTTTCTTTCATGTCTCATTTCCTACTAGCATTTGCTGCTTTTCTGTTTGAGGTACCAAAACACAACTTTTTATTTGCAGTCTTCTCATATTTACTTTTTCCTCTAATAAACACTCCCCACTGAAAATAACACCTTTCTTGAGCAGTTTTTTTTCTGTCTAAATTTTTATTTATTTAATAGCAATCGAGCCATCACAAGAGGCCAGCCACAACTGTGCATAGGGACTAGAAAGTCACTTATCACCTATGAATC